TAACGAACCAAATTTTCAAAACGACACTCGGCGCGTGACGTGTACGAATTCCCCAACGCTTACGTGTACGGACCGAATGCTCTGCTGCGCTGGCTATCCGATTTTCTTCTTTTTCTACCCTGCCCCGAGTTTTATAACTTATAACCATGTGGAGCCGGCGATATCTTTACTTCTCGCGATAAGTTGTTCGTTTTCTCCCAACGTCTCTTACCCTTACGATAATTTCCTTCTTTCTTATTCCTTTGTTTGGTCTTGCAGAAAATTGAAACCTTTGTCGTTGTTCGAGAGAGACAAAGAAAGAGAAAGGGGGTTATTTTCAGAATTAAGTAACCATTAAAAGAAAACATAATAATAATAATAATAATTGTTGATAAGCACTTAATTAATTGAACTGTTGATTTCTATTGGGTTACTTTTTTACACAAATTCTGAATGAGAGGTGAGTTAGAATTACAAGTACTTGGAAACTCTAAATCGAAGAAAATGATTTTTTTTAAATTTATTTTCCCTAGAAATTTCATGGAAAAGGTGAAAATAAAAAGGGAATTTAGTAACATTATAATATTTTTGGTTTATTTTGTTGGCTTGGTTGTTTAGTCCAATGAGAAAGGATGTTGTGAATAGGTTGAGTTGAGAGGCCTACAAGCTAAGTCCACCACTATCATTATGATGTTGGGGAACATTTATTGTCCACTCACTCTTTTTTCTTCATGCCTTTTTTTTCTCCTTTTACAAAATTAAAATTAGCAACATAATAATGTTAACTCACCTTATCATTATAATTTCATTAAATCTTTTTGAATCATGTCGTGAAAATTCATCTCAAAGAGTGAAAGTGAATGTGGAATTTGAGAGGTTGTTGAAGATGTTTTCAAAGCATCAATGGCTAAAGAGAAAAAGTTGTGAAGATTGGAACATTTTTAATGATGATGATGATTTTTTTTTTCCATTTCTTAATTTGATGCTCTTGCTATTAATTAGATAGGATGCTGAGGTAGCTAGAGGATTTTTTTTTTCTTTCTGAAGGAAAAAAATGAGTTAGTGATATGTGGAATGGGACCATAATTTTAATTTCTTGTCCTCTTTAATTGAATGTAGACTAAGAAAAAATCTCTCACTTCTATTCAAGAATATAGAGAGATATTTCTCATGATCTTATTGAAATTGAGTCATCCTGTAGTTTTATTTTAGGAAAAACTCATTCCTCACTTTACTTAAATGTAGGCTAGGAGAAAAATCTCTATTTTATTCAAGATTGATAAAGATATTTCTCTAAGATCTAACTGAAATCTAGCATTTGTGTCTATAGGCTAGTTGAGGTTTTTTTTTTTCTTTTCCTCTCTCTTTTAAAGATATATGGCTGGTTGTAGAAGTTCTTGTAGCTGGATGGAGAACCGATTTTTTGTTTAGTTTTGGAAGTGTATTAATCATACTAATCATTTAAGTTTAAAGTTCAATTCTAGCTAAGTAATCTTACTAGCATTGATTTCAAATCCTAATGGTAATGCTTGTAATTTTTTGCACCATTCAAAGAATTTATTCACCTTGTTGTTAATGTCAAAGAGAGAAGCTATACAAGATACAGGCAGAGTTCGTTTTAATTTCAGATCAATTCAGTTACTTTGCTTTTAAAAATTTCATCAACATTTCCATTGTTTTATTAAAATCTATCCAAAACCCCCCACCAGAAGTAACAAAAGGCCTAACCATAAGACTAAAATTATGATTTGAACTTTTTTTTGTTGTGTTTTGTGTGTAGAGTAGTACTGTAGAATTACATGTCCATGAGAGAGAGGGTCTGGTAAGTGTATGGAGTTAAGACAAACAGAGGCTTTTTGGTGGCAATAGAGGCCTAAGCAAAGCTATATAGAGATAGGGAAATAGATGAGAATAGAGTTAATAGAGAGTAGTGGATCGCTTTCTGCTGTGTTGTACTGTACCACATACCGAATAAATGTTCACTAAAAGCTTACAAAAGGAGATGAATAAAAGTAGGCATTACAGGAAGCAACCGTACCTCTGTGGCCCAACCTCTTCCAATCACAAACACATTATAATATAATATAAATATTGACATGGAATGGAACCACCATTATGCCATAACCCTACAAATAGGACACACCACACTGCCAACTTGCCTACCAAGTCCAATCAATTTCAGAGAGAAAAGAAAAGGGAAAACCAATCTCATTCCTCTCACCAAAAATTTCTTCTCTTTTTTTCTGAAAAGAGAGGACACTGTCCACTTGGTGACGCTTGCACCTCTAGAGCTCTAGATGGGGAATTTAATTTTAGGCCATCTAGGTAGGTAGTTCAAACTATTCAATCTAATAAAGTGATGTGTATGTGTATGTGTCTCTCTCTTTGGGAAATCAAAATTTCAGATTTCAGAGACGTATAAGTTGTAAATGGTAAAATGAAAACTTTTAGCTGCTTTCTTGTGTCTAATCATAGAGGCAGTTGAAATGATTCTCAGCTCAACCAGCAGCAGGCCTTAAGTCAAACCCACTTGCATGGGTCGAGAAAAGACACAACTTTGTGCATATGAACGACTACCGGCCGATTGGAGACTGGAAAAATACATCTTGAAACAGACAATGATGCAGTTGTTGACGTTTTAAGACACTGCCAAATGGAAATGGGAATCCAAAATGAACAAAATTAGTTGCCGTCGTCAACAGACGGTGGCTTGAGTGTGCCTTTTTGTGGGTCGGCAATCAAAATTACTATGATAATGTTTTGCCTAAAATCTCTACATGGGATTTGCTTTCATGGGGGTTTATGTTGTGGTGGAGACACAGCTGAATTGCCCATCATTTCTGTCGCTTCCGACGGGATGGATGAACATTCCCAGCTACTGTAAGAATCACAGCTTGGCGGTTACAGTTGGAATTGATGCCTCAATTGTCTTCCAATTAAGATCTTCTAAGATTTGAATTTCTACATCA